TAAAACATATCACAAAACATTCAAACACACTTTGTTCCTGAAGCCACTGGAGTCAAATTAAATCACCACTGAGAATGAGCTGTCGGGAACAAAAGCTGGCTGCAGCTCTGAGCGAAAATCTGACACTTTAATTAATATATCATCAATTACAGCTAACAAGCACTAATATTTTACAAATTAAAAAAGGCAAATCAGGAGCTAAGATGCTAAAACCAGAGGGACATTTTTTATTTAAATAGAGGAATGTGAAGAAGTGGAACATGTATGTACTTTTACTTTAGAAAATGTATGAAATTATGAGAGGCGCATATGAGCTTTACCAGTTTATGTGCATATGCATTCAAGCACTGAGTTTAATGTATAAATCATTTACAAACATTTGGGCTTGAAGAGCAGCTCCAGCTTGATTCAATATTTTGCTCATGTCCTTCATTCTGTAACTGATACTTTGGTTTGACTTTTGATTTGCTTGTGTTATGACAGACAGGACAGCAGGTCCTAATGCGCATGTTTAATATGACAAGATGATCTACACTTCTTTAAGATGTCCACTGTGTGGGATTTAAGGGGATGTATCGGCAGAAATGGAATATAAAATTCATAACTATGTTTTCATTAGTTTATAATGGCCTGAAAATATAAGTCTTGTGTTGTCGTTACTTTAGAGTGAGCTGTTGACATCTACATACTCCTCCACAGAGCCTGCCATGTTTCTACAATAGCCCAGGACGGACAAACCAAACACTGGCTCTAGAAAGTGCCATTTACATTTTCATTTCGGCTGTAGATCTCCTACACGCTTGGCACGTGCTTGCTGTTTCAGCTGGTTTCAATCTGCAACCTCACCGCTGCCAACAATGCCACTAAATCCTGCACACTAGACCTTTTTAAATCAGAATGTTTAATTCAAGATTTCTTCCGATTTTCCAAAATGTGATGGTTGGCTCCTCAGTCACAGTAAAAATACTTCACGTTTTAAAAGTGACAAAACTGACATAGATCGCTTTCCATTTTCTGTCAGCGGGACTCTTTTTCTTTAACCATCCGCCATTTCAACTACTAGGGACAGTAACTGCAAAGAACTTAGATTGGAATTCTGTGGTAACTAAGGACAGCTATTGATAGCTATCAGGGAACACAAATGTGCTATCCTTTTCTTGTTTTGGTTGCACAAAGGTTGACACGCTTTCTTAAATGGAGGATTCATTTTCCCAGGAGATCGTACGTATCGTATCCTGGCAGAAAGAATTGCACGTTAAAGTGAGTCTTATAGGTGACCAATCTAAACACAGATGGTGTCATTTTTCTAAAGCTATTACACTGCACAATCTTTATTTACTTCATAATGGTCAGTTAAAGCAAAAAACAATTTCCACTTTAACGTGACAAGGTGATCTGAGCTTCTCTTTAAATTGAAATATTTACGTCATGACATGAGCCACTCTCTCTCAAAGCCTGACACCCGAGAAGGATAACTCTAACTTGTGATGTCAAAGTCTAGAGCTGCTCCATAGACAATGAATGGGAGGCTGATTTTGTGGACCCACACAATATTGTTTTTAATTCTATTGTAGTGTCGTCAGTTGTGAAACAGAACATGTTATGCTCTCACTAACAGCTAGAACTTCTTCCCAATTCATCATCTTGAGAGCAGCTCCAGACTTTATGCTTTATGACATCTGAAATTTGAGTTTTAGCACTCTAGTTTTTTGGATTTGGGAGAGAGTTGTTCATGTTTACTAATATTTTTGGACTGTCCTAGACCATGGGAATAATGTGTGAATTTTGAAAAATGGGCGTAGCTCCCATTTAAAAGTGACTGTGACTGAGGGTGTGTGACAAAACTGACATAAATAATTTAACAACGCATGCACAAAAACATAATTCTGATCATTCTAAATCAAACTAGAGGGGCACGCAAAGAGCGCAGACCTCTGTCAAGGCCAAATGCCCTATCTTGCAATGTTAACAAAAGTGAAAAATAATTCATGTGTCCATGTTCATGACAATAAGGCCAAAAGTTTTTCCATGATCCTGCTGACAAACCGAAACGATCTGAAAACACAAACTCCTCGGCTCAAGTGATCAATAGATAGATAAATACTCAAATCCTGCTGTAGGTGTAAGGAGCCACATACATCATTCTCAATAAGTGGCCTGACAGAGGATGCAGCCATGTCTACAGTCTGTCCTCATGTTCAGGCCACAGCAGGCACCTCTGAATGCGTTTTTGTCAGATGAGCTCCGAGCTTAGAGGCTCACCTCTGCTTGCACCATGTTTCACACGGTGAGGTGCCACTGTGTACACTTCACACTGATGTGGTCCATGCATACTAAAGGATCAAGTACACCTTGGGCCCATGCGTACTAAAGCAGGGTCAGATCCCATTCAGCAGGCCCTGAATGCCATAAGCACATTGGTGTAATCCCTGCAGACTACTGAAACGGGTAACTGGATCACTTCTTTTAAAAGCACCTTAATGGATTGGCCTGGCCGTTGATTTTCTTTTTTAATACAGAGCATATCGATGTCCACCAATCAAACGCTCTACCACCCTGTCACTAAGTCGGCCCGTCTAAAATCTACATCTGGAAGCTCTGAAATATGACAGTTATAAAACCAGGTTTGTGACAGGTTGCCCTTGACTAGGCCTCATACATGTCCCGTCTTTCTAATTTGTAAGAAAGTGGCAGTCCATCACAGATGCGGGTGGGATTTAGCACTGGATTTACTGAAATGAATATTAAAAAACAACAGCTATGAGACCTAAAAGAAAAATCCCCTTAGCTGCAAGTCACACAGTTATACTAACATACTAATAATCTTAAAGAATAAGATGATTTAAATATCTAACACAAATGCAACGCCTGCAACCTCGAGCCAGTTCTCTCACACCCCCGATTCGTCATGACACTGATTAGTTTTCAGAGTCAACTTTGAGTCCTGCACGGCTTCAGCCTCACATCCAAGACACATATGAGGTTGGCCGAGGAGAACTACTGACACCGACACGCAGACACGACAAAACTCAAAAGATGACCTACCCCTTTCGTGTGATCTGTGGCAACGTCAAGGCTTTCCTTGGCCTGCTAGTTATCCAGAGCAGGGCAAGATAGAAAAGTCTTTAGTGCGGCTGGAGTCTTACCTACCACCCAAAACCCTCTCACCGCTGCCACAGCAACAGAGAGCGGATTACTGGACTGTACCATTCTGTTGTTAGAGGGGATTAGAGTTCACACAACATGGCCCCTTTCTGGGTGTGCGCGTGCCACTGGGAGTGCGTGTGTGCGTCCCACAAACGAGAGATTACCACAATCGGCATTCTCATCTGAGCTCCACAGGCAGAGAATTTACTCTACCTCACAGGCAGTGGAGAATTTTACTAAAACATCCATAAGATGCATGTCTGTATGTGATGCAAACGGACACTGATACACTGAAAATGGACCTCTCAAAAGGACACACTAACTAAATTTCACAGCTCTAAATAATATCCTTTCTGCATTATGTAACCTGTTCATATATTCATGATTCTACATAAGCATTTTTCTCCTTTTTTGTCCAGTGACTGATATACGTGTGTGCATCACTGTACCAGTGAAGAGCTGCTTCTAAGAACTGAACAGAGAGAAGATCAGTATTAAACGACGAGAGGATCAGGGTGTGTGACTTCGGTATCTTTGATGAGGCCCAAGTTCAAGGCAGGGAATCATCTCATTATGGCTTGTGGCAGATTAGTTTTGAGTCCAACGACAAGCCATTATATAACACTGCAAAACGACATCCATGCCAACGTAAACATACACTAGATTTATAAAAAAAAAAAAAAAAAAAACCCTCAGTGGGCTGGATTTTGACTTTATCAAACAACATATCATCTAATACTGTAGCACTATCAATGCTCCCAGCTGTAAAAACATGATCTGATATGCAGCATTGTTGCTTTAGTATTTTCCAAACCAACCCTACACTACACAGAGACCGAGACAGAATGTGCTTAGTCATATGTATTACATAAATATATATTCATACATTGTCTCTGATGGGTTACCAGACTATATGAGGATTTCATGTTTTAGGAAATGTTTACTCAGGGTAAAATCTATTTAACACATAAACCTTTTCATTAAGCAAAAAAAAAAAAAAAAACAGTATTGAACTCTTGAATTTCTCTCCTATCCATTCTTTTTTTTAACTGTATGTTGCATTTTTAGTTATTTTGTTATTTATTTATGTATTTATTTTTAAGCAAATTTTTTGTATCTGCCACTGTTTTATTAAAATTTTCTTATTTAAATATGTATTCATTAATATGTATTCGTGTATGATTTTAAATCATCATTGTCATATTATAGTAATAGTAGTAGTATAATAGTATAGTAATAATAATAATTACTATTATTATAATTATTATCAATGGTAGTCATCATCAGCATCATTATTGTTAAGTTATTATTCATTAATTCTTAATAAGATTTTTGTTGTATCACTTTTAGCATCTTTCTATTTTTTTTAATTTCTCTTTATTTTATTTTCAAATTTAATTTCAATGTTTTTAACATTATTATCATAATTCTATTCTATTTGACATTTTTTTAGTTAAACTTTTGTATTACTATTATCATCTCTGTATATTTCATTTTATCTCTATAAAAAAGAAATAGTGTTAATATTAATACATAAATATTTTACATTTCTCCTTCTTCTTCTTCTCCATCTTCTCCATCTTCTTCTTCTTCTTCTCCTTCCTCTTCTTATTACATTATATTTTAATATTAATATTTAATATTAATATTTTTTGCTTGATTTTTAGTATCACTTCTACCATCAGCATATCACTCCATGTAGGTATTTACCAATGAGACACAGACACTGAAGTACTGCTTCATGTTTGACTTGAAATGTTCTACAGTTGATTTGATGTCATCAGTTTCAGGTTCTCTTAAGACCAACAGGGGTCAGTGTGGAGTTGAATTCTGACATGAGGTGATGCCTTTACCTTCTCTTCCCCCTCTTCCTCCTCCTCCACCTCTTGAATTTCCCCACACTTCCCTAGGCCAATGGGGTCGTAACTGTGGTTGTGCTGCTGTCTGGATGATGTGACCGACAGCTGCCTCTGGAGCCGCAGCACCTCCCTCTGAGACTCCCTGAGAAGCCTCTCAAATTCCACTCTGCCAGATGGAACAGGGGAGCCCTGCACAGACACATACACGTTTATCAAAGACAGTTGTACGACAGCGACATCATCAATTTAAAACACTATTGCTAGTTCAACATTTTCAAATCATCTTCCGCTAAACTGATCCAAAGACCTATAGCCTCAATCAACAACGTACATGTAATCATTTGCACTACGATCTAAAACTTGCAACCTACACTTGTCTTCAAAACACTTCAAATATTGTGTTTATAAATCCCTATGACTAACAACAGCTCTAAATATAACAGTCAGAAGGGACACTTCCTAGCTAAAAACTAAAACATGCAGTAAAACTGATTCTGGGTCATGGACTTCAAAGAGCATCAAAGTCATCTCATTCAGATGCGCTCAAATTTTCACGGTCAAGTTGAGAAGGCCACTCCAACCTCTCTCTCCATCACTCTTATCATCTAATGGTGAGAAAGTGCTGAGGTTGAACACGGGATCCAGCACAGACACTCTCACTAGATCAATAGACAGCTCACCCTGTAAGACCCATCATTATTAACCCCAACAGATGTTCACAATCAACTAAATGAGCTCTTAAGTCACTGAAGCAGTAATTAAATACAGGCACATTGAAAGGCAGCCTATTCCTGCACTGTCATCGAGTCATCAGCAGTGACGCAGAGCTTTGTAATGCTGGCTTAGGACACAGTGGGGATGAGTAGTACCCGTGTTGTCCAGCAGAGAGCGAGCTTGTGGTATTATGAGCGTGTGGCAGGAAGGATGAGAAGGAACACTGGGGTAAAAACTATGAAGAGTGGTTCAGTCTTGAGTTCAAACTAGTCACTGAGCAGATGTGCTGTAAATACCTTAGTGGTGCCCAGCCGTGCCTCCAGCTCTCTGCATTCTTGCTGTAAGGCAGCTATCTCTTTGTCCTTAGACAGCAGTGCATCAGCGTGCTGGGCAAGGTCACGAGCTCGCTGGCGGGCAAATGCCCTCTTGTACTGTTCCACTGACCCGGGTCTCATCAGTGACGGGGAATTCACCTGAAGAAGAGCAAGAAGGAAATGTGTATTAATCAGCAGGTAGGACAAACTAAAATCTTAGGAAGGGCGTGGATTCATCAAAGTATTTTTAAACTTTTACACAAACCAAACTCTTTTAACAATAAAGGGACAGTTTATCCCCAAAATCAAAAATACATATTTTATCTCTTATTTGTAGTGTGATTTATCAATCTACGTTGTTTCGGTGTGAGTTGCCGAGTGTTGGAGATATCAGCTGTAGAGATGTCTGTCTTCTCTTCAGTATAATGGAACTAGATGGCACTCAGCTTGTGGTGCTCAAAGCGCAGAAAAAACACATTTGAAAAACTCAACAGCAATGTCTCTTTCCAGAAATCATGACTCAGCTACTCAAGATAATCCACAGACCTTGTTGTGAGCAGTTTCATGTAGGAACTATTTTCTTTCTACCAAACTACACCTGCCAACCCTATCACTGCGCAGAAGGAAGCGTGCATCTACTCAAGAGGCTTGTGCTTGTGACAGCATGAGATGTAATCATTAATTGCGTCCTGCTCAGCTGAGCTGCACGCTTCTTTCTGCGTAGTCCAGAACAGATCAACATAATAAATTTAAAGTGATCCATATGACAAAATGATACATAAAGAGAGACAGAGAGAGATGCCGGACAGACAGTGATGACAATAGCTACAATGACATTAATTTTAGTAATAATATTGTAATAATAACAGTATTTTGGTAGCATATATGTTAGAGGTATATCTTAATATATGATAGTATGTGTATGTGACAATAATAATCATTCATTCATTTTCAGTAACCGCTTATCCTCTTGAGGGTCACGAGGGAGGCTGGAGCCTATCCCAGCTGACATTGGGCGAGAGGCAGGGTACACCCTGGACAGGTCACCACAGGGCTGACACATAGAGACAGACAACCATTCACACTCACATTCCCACCTATGGCCAATTTAGAGTCACCAATTAACCCGCATGTCTTTGGACTGTGGGAGGAAGCTGGAGTACCTGGAGAAAACCCACACTGACATGCGGAGAACATGTAAACTCAGCACAGAAGGGCTCCCCCACCCTGGGTTTGAACCAGGAGTATAAGTAGACTATTAATGAAAGCAGAACAAGAAAATAGTTCCTACATGAAACTGCTCACAACAAGGTCTAGAGACATTTTCATATGTATTATTTTTTGGCACTTTGAGCACCACAAGTCGAGTGCCATCTAGTTCTGTTAAATTGGAGCGAAGGCAGACATTTCTACGATATCAGCAACTCACAGCAAAACAATCTAGAATCATAAACAGCACTACAGGTAAGAGGGAAAATGTGTATTTTTGATTCTGGGGTGAACTGTCCCTTTAAGTCTCATGGTGGTATGCAGGGATGGCTGCTGTTTTGGCAGGTGGTACAAGGAGAGCAGAGTACTGTCCTGGTGAAGACAATGGTTTTAGATGAAGATCAGCAAACAACAGCTAAAAATTATACATCAGACAGCATCATAAACAGAACCCGGTAAGGTAGGTAGGTAGGTAGGTATACCAGTGTCCAGCTACTCTGAGCTTTTATTGCTTTGTGAGGGATGCATCATTAACGAAATGCGTAATACCAAATAAAAAAGCAAACTAACTCAGTTAATAAATAGGGCAGAGCTCTTACAAGTCTGTAAACTTTTTATTGAACTACATTGCCGTGCCCTTCAGTGAGCAGCAGGAGGTGAGGGGGGAGGGGATTGGTCTCTTCCTCAGACTGGTGAACAGGTGCACTCAGAATACTCAGCAGCCAGCGAACATCGCAGCCAGGACAGAGAGAGATGGTCATTCCATTGTTTGCCTGATAACTGTACTCCTCACTGCTGCTCTCAAGGAGAGACTGGAGGCCCCTTCACAGTCAGGATCCCTCCTCTGTTAAAATAATACTACTGCTGACTTCAGAGAAAGACACCTGCATGCATGATACAACTGTTATAACTTGATTTTATTATGGTGTTTGTGTAATTTTTTTAAGAGGCTACATTTATTTGCCAGAATAGTAAATAAATACAGTAAATGACTGGACGAATGATCCTTCACTGTTCAGAGGTTTTTATCGGGAGCCAAATTATCAGCAAAGGTCTCTCCTTCTTCTCCAAAAGAAATGGACCTGGTGATTTAAACTGGTAAAAACACTGAACAACAGTTTCAGGCTAAAAAAATCTGTTTTTCTAAGGCTGCTCATCTCATCGTGGAGGGGGGTGCTAAGTATGGTGGCTGAAGCGAAAACGTGAATGGCCCTATCTAGAGCCAGTGTGTAGTTTGTCCATTCTGGGCTACAGTCGAAACATGATGGCGGACTACACGGATGAGAACCTGCTAAGTATGTCGATTTAAACGGCTCATTCTAAGGTAACGAAAACACAGCCATTGTTATTTTCAGGTGATTATACACTGAAGGGAACATACTTAATATATGGGAAGTAAAAAAAAGCCGTTATTCAAAAAACATGGCTGCTTACATTAAAACACTGACCGGTTTCGACCCTAAGGTCTTCGTCAGGGTGCAAAAAGGTGAACAGATGTCAAGCAAACATTTTATAAGCTTGGTATTCATTATATTATGCACCATTTCTGCCAGTGTAGCCCCCTAAATCCTACACGCTGGACCTTTAAATCTATTTATCGAGTCTGCTTTTTTTTTCTTCATGTTTTTATTCATTTTATTGTATTTGTTCATGTCATCATTTATTTATTTGTTTATTTATGTATTATTTCTCTTTGCATTTCTTTCACGTAACTTATTTGTTTCTGTATTATCTTCCATATAATATTTGTTAATGCATTTCTCCTTCATTATGCAATTGAGGCAGCTGTCATTCAAAGTGTGCCATGGAGTCAAATATCACCAATTGGTTGATCGACATCAGAGTGCATCGATTCGTCTATACATGCCTTAATTTCACACTGCCAGGCTCACTACAGAAATAGCTCATTTCACTACTAATTTGTGAGATATAGAAAGATACTTTATATGTATACTATCATACTTGATTTGAAAAAAGAAGTGGATATAGCAGTGCAGATGACACCTAACAGGCAAAGCTTTGTTGTAAACCAAGACAGTAATCGATGGAGTCCGTCAGGAGGAATTGGCATCAACAAAGGTTTTAAATATTGCATTCAAGAAATGATTCATGAGCAGTTAAAATGTTTTTCATCCTTGACCTCTGTGTGTGATCTTTAGTTTGCTTTATATAATCTTTGTTTTATTTTTCTAGAGACATTACATCCCGAGAGACTTGCTACTGAAAACTGAATTCATGTAGCCATTCTGGTGATGCATTAAATTATTCAATAGGGGACTTTTTCAACAAGGCTCCCATTCATCACATGCTGAACTACTGTGATGTGGTGATTTGGATGGTGGTGCTTGACAATGACTCACTCCCCAGCATTTGGGTCACAGTGAGGGCAAACACGCTGCTGTCAAACTGTTAGAGGTGTTTTAATGTGTGCAGTTTACCACTCTGAGGTTGGCCTCCTGCAGTTTTCGAGCCCTCTCTTCCAGCCTTTTAGCGAGAACAGCCAGCTCTGTGTTCTTTCTCCTCAGCCGCCTGACCTTCTCCTCCGTCTCTGGGGCGCTGCTCTTCCGCTGAACACATGGGAAACAAATACCATCATCAGACAATGCCTGCAGCAAATGCAAACACAGCAATGGCAAACAAGAGAGACACGAAAACAGCTTTTCAGAACGGCTTATTAATAGTTTGAAGAGTCAGTAACACACCTTCTAATTGTGTATCTGCTTTTGTTACCAGTGAAAGACGAAGGGGGAAAGGCAACACACTGACAAAATAATTATCTATTTATAAACTGAATAAAGGACAATGAAAGAAAAGAAACAGAAGCGTCAAACTGAAACAATGCGTACTTGAACTGTTTCATTCGCTGTTTCTGTGCACCTGCCCTACTTTCGAGGAAGCCTTCAGTCAAGACTACAGACTGTCTGTTTATTTTTAGTCTTACCAGCAAGCCATTCTCCTCCCTCAGTGTGGTACAAGTCTTCTCCAGCTCATCGAGGGCTCGCAACAGTTCAGAGTTCTGACGCACCAAGAACCCATAGTCAGTGCCATTCTGGAAAAACAAGCACAACACAGGCAAACGCAGAGTTTACAAACTGCTGTTTTTTTATTTTGTTTTTATTAAACACCACAAAATGAAGAATATCAGTGTGTCTGTGTATCAGGTTTCATTTCTCTAGCATTGCTAAAATCTTGCTCCCTCTCTGAGCTCCAGAAAAGCCTCCCTCTGCTGTCAGCCGATGTTTACATACTGCAATCTAATGGTGGCTGACAGATGACAGCTCAGTGAAAAGCCTTTTCATTAGACCAACTCAATCAACCTACAACTGCCACTGGGCAGCTATTACACCACACCAACTCAGCAGCTTTGGAGAGACATTCACAATTCACAAAGTATTGACACACTTTGATTTTGCAATTTTATGTGTTTAACTTCAGATTATTTCTTGTAATCAATCTACACCCTGCACCACATAATGACATGCTCTACCTTGCAGATGCTCTCAGGCTCTTTCAACTCTGACAGTAATACCAATTAGCTGTGATCTTCAGGTCTATTCATAGATTTCTGTTTCGGTTGCAAGTCCGGGCTTTGGCTGTTCCTCTCGGGAACGTAAAGTGAACTGTCCCAAAGCCACTTCAGCGCTGTTTTAGCTGTGTGCTAAACATTACGTCAGGACTACTAGACTTCTGAATGGGCAACTCCGGCCCACCAGTCAGTTCTGTTAAAAATAAATTCGAACCTGGAGATGGAAAAAAGTCTCGTGAATGACAGACATTTTGCCACAATAAATATTTCAAACCAGCAGAGCACTCCTGTGTTGTGAGTAACAGCCAATCACAACATGACTACTGTGAATGAAAGCATGCCGCTGTTGACGTCAGGCCCCCAGGAAAGCTGCCGAGTCTCACAGCAAATTGCCCCACAGGCGACCATTACAAAAGCGACGTCTGTTTAACTGTTGACAGGACACCTCGAACTGTCAATTAAGAATCTTTTTATTCTGAATTTTTGAGCCATGGTGGTTTTATATTTGTAAAATTTTTTTCGTAAGACCAGAAAAGTGATTTAAAAAATCTCTGACATCATCACAATGTACCATCTATGAGCTGAGTACTCGCGGGCTACTATAGCAATGTTATAAAATAAAAGTTTTAACTGAACATACATAAGGAGAATAACAGCTCTAGGGGAAATGTCAGGCCCACGGGGCCCTTAACTTTATAAAAATATGCCCCTTGAACAATATAGCTGAACAGTCCTGCCTTAATTCACTTCAACTTTACTGTTACTCTTAGGATGACTACATGACAGAAACATTAGCATGTTAATATGAATTTGTCTCACGCTTCAGGTCTGTTTTGTGTGTTTGGTAGAAATAAGAACTGAGAAAGTCATCAGCTATTTCCCAAAGTCAGGTGTCATATGCTGTAATGAATACATGTTTGAGATTTCATAGCAGTTTTATATAGTGTAATAGTCTCGCGTGTTGCATGAATTAGCTTGTTATCTTGTGAACAAGCAGCAGTAGATGTCGCAAACAGATTGAGACTGTCATCTGTGTTTGTTGTTCATGTGGAGGAAACCTGTAAGTGGTTGCAACCTCAGATTGCTCTTTTATTTGAATGGAAACGATGGCACCCTGCCTCTGTGACAGCGCTGCTCTAAATGAGCCCCGAGGCTCAGACGGACAGGCTGAGAGCAGACCTGGCACACATAAATGTAACGGCTGCAGTGACAGCAGATGGACAGACAGGGTGAACAGATAAGCTGGAGGTGAGGGGAGGGTTTGTCCTCAGAGTGGAGCACATTCAGCAACAAAAAAAAACAAAAAAAGGTGAAACTGCCTCACATTACCTATGGTCAACTGGTCTGCATGTGCCTAACCACAGCTACTACTGCAGCATCCACAGACAGATGAGGGAAAGGGCCTCGACGCATCTCTCAGCATGAGAAAGCACACAGATGGCTCCACATGTGAAACACCAGTAAGCCTGTCTCCGTAACACTCTCAGGAACCCATTACTAACCTTAAATATCCCTTTAAAACAAGGACACATGTCTAACAGCACAAAGACTAACAATATATTACACATTCAGATAACATGATGCAGTATAAAATCCAGTTACCAGTCTTGGTAACTGCAGATGATGGGGAATCTGGCGGCTCCCTGGAGGCTTTTTAATGCTACTGTACCTGTTATTTAAGTCGACACTAATGACCAGCTGTTTACTAACCCGGCAGCTGAGGCTCTGGAGTGTTCATCTTCCAGGACTATTGTGATGGTAACGTTAGACATCCTGTCTGAATATCTAGTTAGTGGGTTACAAACTAGTGCCAGGAAGACCATATGTTTTTCACAGTGAGACCATGCAGACGAGCAGACACAATATTTTCACTGAAATCATTAACACATGATTTGCCAAGGGAAATTACGCGCACAAAAAAACACCATACAAATTAAAACTGCAGAAATAGTAGCACAGGAAAAGAAACGATCTGCCTAAACCTCCATATCAAGGCTGCAGAATCCTTTAAGTGCCCAAATTAAGTGCTCGTTTTGGTAAATTTCCAATATTGTCTAAATAAGTTGTGATTAGCTTGCAGTCAAAGCAAAGCTGTGATCACTATTTGTCACTACAGGCAAAAAAGATGCTTCATGGACGACATTTCTAATCAATAAAGGCAGTGACTCAGCAAGTACACTCTCCTTCAACTTGAACGCTCTCTTTAGACACTTCTTGGCATCAGCTGAGAAACTGTGGCACAAAGTGTCATCTCATGATTCTGGTTAAGCATAACTCAAATATATGATCAGGGCAACTACTGAAGCTTTTCACTCACTTTAAACTCAAGTTATAGCCTTAAGACTTAAATTAATTGTCACATTTTATCTGCTATAGCCATTTAATCTAACTACATTCAAGCATTCAAACACAGGGAGGCATTTATTGTGAGGAAGTCTCAGGAAATGCAATGTGTTTGTCACTGCGATTAGCGCTGACTGAAAAAAAAAAAGGTCAAAACATAAAGGGTGCCATTTTAAAAAAAATCTAGCAATCCATTTTGTGTGCACTCTTTCTTCTGCGGTCAGAAAGACAGAGGCAAACACACTAACCCTATGGCAGGGTGTGTGAGAGCATCTCCTCATCCTCTTAAGATGATGTATTAGGGCACATAGCAAAGCTGCACAGAAAAGTGTGAAGCTGGTAAAACCCTATGAACAGCACTTCATGACCAGGCCATTTGCTTTGTTGATGATACATGGGTTTTTCAGGCGACGGTACTTATTCGACTGTCTTGGTTTGATTTATCTCTTGTGCCTTAATGTTAGGGCAGCCCAGTCGGCAGAAGAAAATGTTGTCATTGTAGGTTTCTGCAAACCATGAATACATCACAGTTGCATGTCTCATACGTATCAACGTTTCTAAATTGACGTAGTGTATGAGCTGACTTTTTCATCTGGAGGTGGAGGGAGTGGTGGATGGTATGACACCTAGGCGAGATGCCTGCCAAGCTACGGACCACTGTTAAGGAGCAACAAACAACAAAACTGGTTGTGTTTAAGCGACGCATCACTGTTTTTGCAGCTGCTTTTTGGCCACCAAACGTGGGTGTTTTTTAGGAACCCACTGCTGTTTTTACTGGCGGTATAGTGCCACAAAAAGCTGTTGTTTTTCTACCAAGATATCGCTTCATTTCTGGCCATTGAAGTGCCACTAAAACCAAGTATTTTAAGCCAAAACATTATCTTTATCTCTTTGTTTTTTGTACCTAAACCTAACCACACATTAACCAAAGTGTTGCTGACATGTTAAGTTTCAATGTATCCACTATAATGATGTGCAAACATTTAAAGCATAAACAGAAAACTATTTACTCCTACTCTAACTAGCAACCGACAACTAAATGACACTATATTTAAGCATCAGTTCTTTACAACATTTAATATGAATACTGTACCAAGAAAAATGAATATTTTCCACATGATACAGAATACAGCTGGGACACCTGCAGCATGCTGTGCTGTAACGAGCCATAATCAGAGGGAATGACACAGGATTTAAGAACTATACAGTTTAAAGTGTGATTCTCATCAACTGCTGCCTGCATCTCATCATCCACTCAGTTCACTGTGTCTACTTTTAAACAGATCTGATGACACTACCGAACCTCAAGAGCATGTGGCCACCGTCAGTGCTTGCGTCAGTACTTCTTGTAGGGTGCTTGACAATAAAGGTCTTTCAGTAGTTTACAAGTTCACTTGAGTTCAGTCTTTTTGTCCTGCATGGGAGATTTGGCTTGCGGCATGACAGAAGCAGATCCGTTTGAGAAAAGTAGCACACAATAGCAGGAAAACGTTAAATACAAATTCAAGCAGGTAAAGTCAATAAATAGGAACGTGTTCAAAATGAAAACAGTAACAAAAAATAAGGAACAACAGAGGGTGAAAATAAAGGAAACAAGAAGGTTTTAATAATGCAAAGCTTTCAAGTAGGGATGCATCAATAGTGAAATTCTAGGCCGACAGCCAATACTGATGGGTTTTGTTGTTGTTTATTTTCTTTTTGTCATTATTTATTCCCCTTTTTTTGCCAGGGAAACAAAGAAAACTTCATTATAAAGAACAACTTAATGAAATAACAGCTTCAAAAGCCCTTTACTATATATAATAACTCATACTTCCTTCTTTTTAATATCTATTTTATAATGCTGTGAAAACAAATTTCTCTATCAAACAATTCTATTAAAATTTCTTGCCAAAATTTACATTTTACAAGATTACATTTGAACACATCATAAGAAGGCTGTAGTTTACCTTCACCCAGTACTCATTTTTACTGAAAAGAACTTAAATACATCTTAATGTAACTCAATGCAATCTTTGTCAGCAGCTAGTTGCGGCCACCTGCTGCAGAGATCTAACATTAACTAGCTCTCCTTTTACCGATGTCAATGCGTATTCGTTGTTCACAATGTAACACTGTCAGGTCCTCTGATGTGTCAATAGTGAGTTTACTGTATCATTTTGCCCCGACGGCATCCTGGG